TGTCATTCTTACTCATGCTTTGTTGAAATCTAGGTAATTCTAGGTATCTGCTGCATTTCCTTGACCCACCACTTAAGTAACATTGCCCCAAAAAAGAAAGGAAGGAAGGAAAGAAAGAGGAATGAAGAAAGGAAAAAAGGACCGAAAGAAGGAAGAGTATGATGTGAGCTGGGTTTGATGAATGATGCTGGCTTTTTGTGATCATCATTTCCTTTTCCTGATGTTCACTAACCATGTCCTTAATGAGACATTAAAGAATTTTGCCTGAAATTGAAGTCAAGCTCACTGGATTATAATTTGTAGCTTCCATCCTCCCCTCTCCCATCCCTTTGTCCTAAGATGGGGTAACATTTGCCTTTATGCCTTGCTTGAGTCCTTCTCCTGTTCTCCACGGTCTTTCACACACTGTGTGGCTCAGTAACCACACCAGTCAATCACACTATGTGCCAGGCAAGGTGCCAAGACGGAGCACAAAGACGGTGAAACTGCAAACTGCCTCCACCCTTGAAGTACAACTAAGCAGGCAGACTTACTAGCTAGTGGTGGTAACAAGACCTTATATAAGTTAAATAACTAGATAACATAATAAATACAACACAGATACAAAGGCATTTTGGGGATGAGGAAGCCATGAGCAATTTGGATCAGGAAAGACTTTGTGAAGAGAGCTGAGCCTTGGGGGAAATTAGATATTTGAAGAGGTAGACGTAAGAAGAGAGTTCATTCCAGGTCGGAGGAACAGCCACGGCAAATGTACAGAGATAGGAGATAAAAATAGAGAGATAGAGAGACATAGATATATCTCTATATAGTTATAATTATGCATGTTATCGCATATATGTAACAAATATATACACACCACACATGTGTATATACACATATATGTATGTATATGCATACGTGTATGTGCATGCATATATACTGTATACATATATACAGTATGTGTGTCTTTGTGTGTGTGTGTGTGTGTGTGTGTGTGTGTGTGTGTGTGTGTGTGTAGAAATTTTGTCTCTAATGTAGTGTCCATGAAAGAGGATAATGTGTTATAAGGCCAGGAAGATAAATTTGGTAAAGGGCTTTCAACAAACAGAACCCTTTTCTATTTGATTCTAGAATAAGATTGCTGCTGAGTTTAAGTGGGGGTAGAGCATGATTGGACCTGCCAGTCCTTACAGGGCCCAAAGACATCGTTCCCCTGGAGCAGGTACCTTGAACTCAAGGGCACCTAGGTGTTCTCTTGCTCTTCCCATCTATTTATCTTCTCAATTCCTCACTGGCCATTTTTCTTTTGGGCTCTTTCATTTCTAAACAAAGCTCATTGGCCACAGCAGAGAAAACAGAAGCAGATTACAAATTTAGACATTCTGCTTCCCCTTTCTCAGCAAGTATCATTGCTTCATCCACTTTAAGCAGTGATACTTCTTGCACCCCTTTCTTCTTCCCAAAAACATTAAAAAAAAAACCAACAGCAGCAATAACCTCTTTTTTCTTGTTCATCATTCTCTTTGCCAGGCTGAGCACTGACACTGCTTTTGTAGTACTGCCCATGCCTGTACAATCATCCTTTGTTCTTTCTCTTTGCTGCCACCTTCTATACAAGTCTCTAAAAAACATGTCATTCTGTGAGCTCCCTGTGCATCTGCATCTCTTCAGACCATTGTCCCTCTTCCTCCTCATCAGAATCATTTCTCTTTGTGGCTTCAGAATCCCATTACTGAGAAGTTCCCATACATTCTGGACAGAATTCTCCTGTAGAATTTTGGTTCACAAGACCTTAACTACCCTTCCTCCTCACCCTTTGAAATCTGCTTTCAAAATTAAAGGTCCTTCTCATCCTCTGCTCAGCTTTCTTCTCTTCTATCACAGACTCTAAGATAGAGTGACCGTGCTTTCCCCGCCTCCGAGATTTCAGTTCCCATCCCCCCGACCAACCAGTTCCTCACAATGGGAGGGAGTCAATCCAGAAAGAAGTTTCACTTGGTTCCCCCAACTTTTGAGGGATGTGAGGTAAGTCAAGAAATCATTAGCTCCTCTGAGGTTACCCATCACCACTACTGCTACCACAAGCCAGGCTTGTCATCTGTTCTTCCTAGCTAGAGTCAGAAAGACTTGAGTTCAAATCCTGCCTCAGACACTAACTGTGTGACTCTGGGCTGGCCATTTAACCCCTTTGGGCCTCAGTTTCCTCATTAATAAGATGGAGATATTAACAGTACCTACCTTACAAGAGAACCAAATGAGATAACATTGATGTAAAGTGGTTTTCAAACCTTAAAGTGCTATGTAAATGCTAGCTAACTATTATTCTGGGAGCTAAATGGGGTCACGAAGAGTCGGATATGACTAAAATGTCTGAACAACAATAAAAATCTATTATTCCTGAGCTCTTTATCTATTTCATCTTTCTGTCCTGGTGGTCTGTACTATATTTCAAACAGATGCATTCTATTTTAATAGGCTTTATCTACTAATCTGCCTTATAGAAGTATTTCACAGTTGCTACTCACACGGAAATATATATAAATATAAATGTATATATATACATAAATATATACATATATTACTTCTAATTGACTTACTCAGTAGTCACTTAACTTTAGATTCACAGGAAGTAGGAATTTTTTTCAAACAGACCACTTAGGACATATATGGACAGATGACAATATAGTCAATGTGTTAATTCTGCAACCTTAAGACAAATTTTTAAGATTATTGAAAGACTAAGTCTATCATAGTGATGGATATTAAAGGTGTTGAGAACTAAAATAAAAAGGCCACTTCCCAGGCCTGTTCCCATAAAGTGAATAGACATGTCCCAGCAGAGTCTATCCACCAATGAGGGCTCCTAGGAGCATCCACAGCAGTTGGGAAGAAATCTGGGGAGCCACCTTGGGATGGATGTGTCCAGACAGGGAGGGTTTATAGAGGGATTTCAGGATGGCAGCTGGTATCTTCTTCTCCTTTAGCAACAGAACAGAAGTTGGAGAGAGATCACCAATCACAGCAGAGGGGCCAAGCCCAGCAGAAAAGAGGCCCTGCACAGCAGTAGCCAGTATTCTGGGCTAGCTGCTGGCAGCTGATCCAGAAGAGAGCAATGCCTAGGAGGAGCTTCATGAGGAGTCCAGAAAGGAAGGAAAGGCCCTCCAGGGATAGGAAGTGAGAGATCCTCACTTTGAAGTCAGGAGTGCCAGCCACCTATGGGTTGGTTCTAGGAGCCTGCTCTGGACTCAGAGGGTCATAGTTGACAGTCCAGCCTTCTTTCACAGTTCCTGCCATTCACTTGGCTAAGGCCCAAAGTCGTGATCCAGGACTGGAAAAATGACCCTTCCTGGCTTCACTTGGATGTCCCAGTTATTGCTTCTCCTGGATCTTTGCAGGAGGAGCCAGGGAGAGCCAGACTCTCCAGCTTCCTCCTTTTCCACCATCTTCGATGGTCTCTCCATAAGTGTTTTCTACATGTGGGCTTCCCTGCCATCATGCTTTAAGTTTGAGCTCACTCTTCCCTTGGGACCTTGTGTATGCAAAGGAGACTGGGCTCCATGCTCCATCCAGATGAGGAGACTAAAGCCCAGAGAGGGGATGTGACTTGTCCTCAGTCATACCGGTACTAAGCAACAGAACCATAGACTTGAACCCATATCCTCTGACTGAAAACCTGGTGCTCTTTCCTTTGCTTCTCCAGGGGCTGGTGGTGAGTAGGGAGGCATGGCCATGTTTATTTAGGGTCAGATGCAAATTGTCTCAGGTGAATTAAGGTGTTCATGGGCACCAAGCTGCTCTCAACACACACGTGGGCCAGAATGACTTTATCCTAGATGAAATAGATGTGAAATAAAACGCAACAAGCCCCTCCCCTAAAGGAACCCCTAGTTTTGCTGAGTTGGCGATGAGAGCCAGATGTTGTATGGACCCAGGTGAGCCACCAAACTGCTCGTGTGTATCTAAGGATGGAGACAGCTCAGTCACAAAATCCATCTTTTCAACCCTCTCCAAGAGCAGGGAGGAGCTCTCGGGATTTATTGCTTGAGATTTGTTTCCCGTTCTTCCCTCTACAGGAATTACAGTGCTCCAGGTTGGAATCTGTCCAATCCATTCCTACTGATGAGAAACCCCAGGACATCTGGCTGGGTACACAGGCTAGGGGGAGGGGCCATGCATTTTGTGTAAAAGTCATGCAGCTATGACTCTAGACATCCTATTTGGTCATTTGTGAGGATCAGGGAACTAAGACTTAGAATCAGGGCACCTGGATTCAAAATCTATCTTAGATGCTTATTAGCTGGATGACTGTGGGAAAGTCATGTCACCTGTTCAAACCTCAGTTTTCTCATCTGGAAAGTGGAGATAACAATACTTGCACTGCCCATATTTCACAGAGTAGTTGAGAGGAAAGCTCTGGATAAATGTGGATTGTTATCCTTCCAATGCTGTGGATTTCACAATAAAGCTGACCTCTCCAATACTACACAGCATGCCTTGGGCTGCCTTCTTCTATAGAGCAGGGTTGGGTCATCTGATGCCGTGAGCTTAACCAGGCTCCTCCATATTCCATGCCTAATTCTATCATGTGAGTCTTTAATACCATCACATGGAGCATCTGGCAGAAAGTTCTCCCAAACCATTTTCCAAATGCTAATATTGCCTCCCTGTAGTAATCATTCTGCCAGAGCCATTACAGCCTAATGTCTGAGCATCCCCCAGAAACAAATACCTTTTCTGAGCCAACACCAACTCCACAAGGACTTTGGCTTCAGGAAGAATGGAGAGAAAAGATTATCTCATTGTGACAAGCTTATGGGGGAAAACATCAGCTTTGTCTGGGTCACAAAGGAAAAGACAGAAAGGAAGTGGAGGGTTTTTTCCTTTCTATTGTCTGGTTTGTTTTTTTTTTGAAGGCTGGTTTTCTACCTGTAACCTTACACTTTCAGCCAAGGACGTTGGTTTAGAAAACATATCATTAATTCATTAAATCTTTAATGCTTGTTGCAGTGTCTTTATAAAAAAAAAAAAGAAGAAGAAGAAGCAGGAGAAGGTATTCCTGGAAAATCAGGTATGAATGTGGCCCTCTTCCTGTACAAATTTGTCTCAATATCATTTTTGATATGTTATTCTGAATAGCGCATTTTTCAGTCTTTTGACATTTGGGCCAGGTCTTACTCTCAGTAGGTCATAAGATCACAGATTTCAAGCCTCAAGAGACCTCCGAGCTCATCTAGTCCAACTCTCCCTTCATTTTATGGATGAAGAAACTGAGGCCCAGAGAGGGAATATCACTTACCCAAGGCAAATGGAAGAGCTGGTATTTGAACTCAGGTCTTGGGACTCCATGTTCAGTGCTTTTTCCATTACCCTGCCCACCATAAATCTTTCCCTCCCTTCTCTACTCTCCCTCCACTCTGAATCTTTCGATATCTGAGGTTTCCTTCAATGCCTATTTTTAAGGTCTTTTAAATGTGTATACCACTGCTAAGTACCTACTGATATTTCTAATTACTTAGAGATTTAAACTTCTAATAGTTTCTCTCCCTCATCAAAATACAAATGTTATCTACTTTGTTCTGAGTACAGAGTGTTCCACCAAGAATTTTGCCTTCCTACCAGCTGAGAACTCCTTTCCCTATGGGATCACAGGATTCAATTAGAAAGGACCTAGGAGATCCTTTTGTGTAGCTTTATCATCTTACAAACGAAGAAACTGAGGCCCAGAGAGGGAAATTAACTTGCCCAAGGTCACAAAACTCATAAATAGCTAGATTGAGACTTGAACTTGGTTCCTCTGACTCCAGATTGCATCCTGGTTCTACCACACTATGGTCGAGTGCTGAGGGCATCAAAGAACTTCCTGATAGAAGCTCCATGGCAGGATGTCACCATTAACTCTACAGTAGTTACCTTGTTGGGTCAGAGGTAAGAATTCTAGGTTTAGAGGGAAACTCCAATGATAAACCCTAGCTAAGAATTTTCTCTCCCCTTTTCCTGGTGCTTCCATAGGTCCATAGATCAGTGAGCTCATCAGTATGGGTCTTCTGTTTACTGGAACAGAACTTGACTTATCCATGTCTTCTTATCTGGCATGGTTCTTGTCCATACCTTACACAGACCCTCACTTTTTCTCAATATAAGGTCATTTAATTCAATGGCAAACATTTGTTAAGGATCTATCATGCTGAGTGCCGGGGAAGATGCAAAGCTTAGCTAAGACAGTCCCTGCACTCCTTGAGCTTACAGTCAAATTGGGGGTGGAAAAGGGAGAAGACACTGGTATCTATGTTATATAATTTATAAAGTATACAATGTGTCTATTTTTATATATATTATAAGTATATTATTAAAGAGCTACAAAAGGAAGAACTATATGAAGTCATAGGTTTAGAACTGGAAGAAATTTTCTAAGTCATCTCTGATACCGTCATTTTTATAGATGAGGACACTGGGGGCTCAAAGATATGAGCTGACCTGTCCAAGGTAACACAGTACTAGGATTTTCTAATGATAGCCAGTGAGCAAGCGTCACCTGCTCATTCATTCATAGGGTCATCGATTTAGATCTTAAAGGAACCATGGGGGCCATCTGGCCTAACTCTTTTTACGGATGTGAAAACTGAAGCCCAGAGAAAGGAAATGAATTGCCCAAAGTTCCATGTGTAGTAAGTAGCAGAGCCAGGATTTGAATCCAGGTCCACTGTCTCCAGCTCCTATGAGCTTGCCACTGCACCATACTGCCCAAGAAGAGAAGGCATCCATAGATGGGAGATAAGGTAGGCTTCAAGGAGGAGGCAGGCTTTAATTCAAGGCACACATAGGAATTCAGCTGAAGAGAGGGAGAGTAGATAGGATATGTTTGGTAGGACATATAGTATTTGTTACCTTTTGACTAGAGAGTAAAATACCATGGTGGACAATAGTAGATAGATTCAAAATTGTTTCAAAAGCACCTACTTAGGAAGTAACCTGAAGACTTTTTAAAAAATTTTTTTTCAATGGAAAATTTGACGTGGAATCAGGCAGCCCTTTAGCAGTTATTCTTTTTGGCTGTTTGTTCTTCATTATAGTCAGCAAACATGCATCAGGTGCCTGCTATGTGCCAGCCACCGTGCTAAATGCTGGGATAAAAAAAAAGGCAAAAGACAATCCCAGCTCTCTGTGGGGGAGATGATGTGCAAGATGAATCGAAAATAATCAACAGAGAGAAGGAGCTACGATTAGGGGGAATGTATTTCCTTAATACTACAGGGATAATAACATGGAAGCTGTGTACTTTGGAGTTTTATTTTGTTTTGGTCCATTTTTTTATCCAAGCATAATGCTTTGCACACTGCAGGTGCTTAATAAATGTTTACTGCATTGAGTTACTCATGCTGTTTCTTCATCTCTAACATGGGAATATCCCTATAAGACTGTCAGCAACTTGAGGGCAAAGCTATGTGTTATCTTTGTACCTCCCCTAGCCCTAGAACAGTGAACATTGTATAGTCTTTGATCACACAAATAGTTAATAAATGTTTGTTGAGTAAATGGGTCAGAGAGAAAAATTTCAGGATTCAGAGTCAGACTGGGATTTTGATGCCCATCATGACACTACCTGCGTTACCCTGTGCAGGCTATCCATTTTCTGGGCCTTGGCTTCCTCATCTGTAGAACAAAAGGGCTGAACTCAACCCTAAGGTCCCTTTGCACTCTGTGCTTCTATGACTGAAGGATATTTGTCAATCAGGCGAGTGGAGAGAATCCTGGTGCTGTTACTGGCCACCTGAAAACACACCACTTGGACCATGTCTTAAATTGTGTCTTGATGTGCAAAATGACATGAGACAACGAGACAATGATCCAGATAATTGGAATAACCAGCCATAATGCCTTAATAAATCGAATGAATTGGATACGTTTGGGTTGAAAATGTGTTGCTATGACTTTTTTTTTTCCTGAGGAGAAGCAAAGGTTTGACCAGGATTACCCATATAATTGTTTCGGTTCTGCTCTGCATTCTTTGTAAACACAGCTAGAGTGAGCTTGCAATTCTGAAGTCACTCTGAATTCCCTAATCCTTAATCATCCTTGAGTCATTTGAGCCAAAACTTGAGAGCCTGAGAAAAAAGGAAAATTCACTCTGTGTTTTTCATAATTGGGAGGAAGTGAATTTAGCGGAGCTGGTCTCTGCTGTCCAGGAGAGGCTGTGCAGGCAGTGGGTTTTTAGATGACTTTTTTTCAGCCACTTTCACTTACAATTAAATGATAAATGTGAAACACAGATGGCTATTCACAATCTTTGCAGTGGGAAAAACCTGTTCTCAGATTGTAGCGCTCTAAAGAAAGCGAATAGTTATTGCTTCAAGAGAGTTGAGCCAAAGTGGGGAGAGAAAGGAGGTAAGAACTGTTTCTTTGGACTGAAAAGGCTGGTGGGATACCTCAGCCTTTAATGGTTTCCTTTAAACCTGGGCATAGGGAATAGATCTGGCAAAGGGTAAAGCTGGTTTTTCATCATGCGTGAGAAAAAGCTACTGATTTTCCTGACTTCCATTTCCCAACCCAAGGGTATTGTTCTTGGGAATGGTGAGACTGTCTTGCTCAAGAATTCTCTGATGAGTCATAGGGGCTTGGATGGTGAAATGTCCCTCTTCTCCCCCTGTTCTTCCATTTGGAAACCAATTTCCTTCAAATGGGGTATTTGATTCACTCCTGGACTCACCTGTGGTGAGACATATTCCAAACTGTCAAGTCCATCAGAATGCTATGGTTCTTGGACTCTTCTTGTTTCACTTATTGAAGGAGACATGTGTGCAATTTGGTGGAATGTGTTATGACTAATGAGACAGCACTCTCCCATTGGTCCTGAATATAAAAAGTGAAAGTTCAAAATTTTTAATTTCCTGGAACTCCTAAGACTTCTCATTGGCACATTTGGAAATGCAATCTATACACATCTGGGCTGATTCAGCACAACACTCTGATTTCAAGGTCATTAAGCTTATGGGAATTAAATAGATTTTTCTCTTGGACCAAAATTTTGGATCTGGAAAGCACATAAGAGGTCATCTGGTCCTACCCTCTTCTTTTAAAGATGAAGAAACTGAGGTTAGGGAGGTAAAGTAGCTTACCCAAGGTCACACAGAGAGTCAATGGCAGAGCTAAGATTTGAAACCAGGTTCTCTGGCTGCAAATCCAGTGCTCCTCTTACAGTATCATAGAATCTCACCAGAAACAGATTTTGCTCATTTAGTCCTCACTGAGAGGCATGATCCAATGGTGCAGCCATTGAGAGACCCAGGCTTTGGGCTTAGCCCATAATTAGAATTGTAATGCCTGGAAATAGGAACGTGTTAAAGGCACATCTTTTCAAGGGTTTATGTAGAAAGGGGGACGACCCTTTTAGAACAAAGCAAGATATTCACGTTAGGAATTTGGGTTCCTCTTTCTCATTGGCTAAAAGGCTCAGAATGCTTGAGCATTCCATTCACACTCCAGGTCACTGTGAAAACACAGGCTGGCTACAAAAAGATCCTTCCAACTGACGTTGTGATGGGGAGTTGGCATGGCAACTGTCAGGGAAGAGCATTCTTCCTTGTCTTGGAAAATTGGAACAAGAGGGAGAACTAGAAGAGAAGGCCAGACTCATCCAGACTCCCGGAAGTGACAGATGATGGTGTCCATGCTAGTAAATGGAAGAAAATGAAAAAGGGGAAAGGGGACATATGGGATGCCATTAGGCGAAGGCTGGGGGGAGCCCTCATTCCTCAGGCAAGTACAAGGTCGAATATTATTTTGCTAAAGGAGAATGCTCAGGCAGCCTCCAGTGGCTGAGAGGTTTGTGCCGGCCTGGGCAGTCCTCCAGCACTGAGGTATGCCAAGAGAACTAGCTGAGCAGTTCGAATACAAGTAATTTAAAATACAGAGCCAGAGGTGATATGCACCATGGATCACTCATAAGCCAGGAAAAGTTATTTCGAGCGAGCACTATTCAATGAAAAGGGGTCAGAAGGAGGAAGAAAGTTCGGCTAATAGTGCCCTTAATTGACCAGCTTAATAGTAGAGATTGCATTGTATAATGGATTG